TAATCCAGTCATCTACTTTTGGGCATTTGGGCTGTTTCCATGTCTCCAATTGTGAATAAAGCAGCAATAAACATGGGGGTGCAGGTATCTTTTTGAATCAGTGTTTTTATGTCTTTTGGGTAGATACCTAGGAGTGGGATTGCTTTAACTAGTCATTTTTATAGACCCTTCTATCCTCTAGATGTGGGGGCTGTGGGAGGCGGGGAGCAGACACAGTTCCTTTCTTTAAGGACTTCACAGCCTAGCTTTGGCATGAGACATAGTTAACTACTTACAGATGAGAAGACCCCAGGCAGCAGGCGGGCAATGCTCTTACCTCACCACAGGTCAGCTTCCTTGGCCGCATCAGCAGGGATTTGCCAGGGTGGACAGTTGGGGTCACTGCAAGGAAGGGGAAGGGCATGGTGAGGTTGGCAGGGTTGGGGGCAGGGTTTCCCGGGGGTGGTGAAGGCCTTGTGAGGGCGGCACCCCCCACTCACTGGGTGGGAGGAAGGGCTGCAAAGGGCCAGCCGTGCTTTCTCACTCCCTCCCAGCTGCCCTAATGACATGTGATCTCAGGGTGGGGTGACGCAGAGGAGAAGGACAGATGAGCTTAACAAATGAGCCAGGGGAAGAGCAGGAGAATGTGCGTGGTAAGCCCAGGCCTCCGGGTCCCGTGGGGGCTCTGTTACGGGGGTGGCTGGTGGTAACACCTGCCCAGGGGCTTGTGCCCACCTGAGTGAGTTCATGGACAGCGCTTAGCATCGTGCCTGGTCCGTGCTTGCTGCTTTGCAAAGGTAGCAGCATTGGCTTGTTTTCATTCTTGTCTTTTCCTCCTTTATCGTCTTTTTCCAGGAGTGTTTACTGTTCCAGGCTCTTTTCTCCACTAAAAACATGAGCAAGAGGTCTTAATCTCTCCACCCTGCAGATGAACAGAGACTCAGAGAAGGGAGGTAGTTTAACTATCCTGTGGTCACACCCTAGAGAGAGGTAGAGCCCAGGTCTCTGACTCCACTGCTCCCCTTAGGCCATGAAAGGAGGTTTGCCTGGAAGGGTCTGCAGCTTCTCTAGCAACGAGGCCTCAGCAGGCTTAGCCCTGGCTGGCCTGGGCCTCCTAGGGCAGCTCTTACTCCCTCTCTTAGGGAATGGTGCCCCAAGAACCCTTGGGATGCTTGGGGTGTATGTGGTAGAGTGGGGAGCCTGGGCAGGTATGGGACCCACCTGCTTCACCCAGGGCAGCCTGGCCATCCCCTGAGTTGCCTTTCGATTTTCCCACTGCTGGAGAAGAGGCTAAGAAGGCTGTTCTAAGTCAGTCCCCACTTTCAGATGGGGAGAGGCGCCCAGTGACGGAGCCTGTGCCTTTACCCGGGCCCCTGGCAGCAGCACTTGGCTTCCCCACTGCTGGCTTCCAGGGTGGCTGGGAGTGCATCTGGCCAGAGCTCCCCGCAGGGGCGGGAGGGAGAAGGCCTGCTTGTTTGGGTGGGCATGTGCCCAGGCATCTGGCCAGGGATCCTCTGCCCACCCACCCGAGGACCCTGGAATACGAAGTCTTTGGCTCTAGCGAGAAGAAAAGGAGAGGGATGGTCACTACTGACTTTCTGGGCAACTTTAAAGGGGAACAGGGTCTCTTTGCTTGCTGGTTAGGATAGCTCAGGGGCCCGCTGCCCCCACCCCCCACCAGGTTATTGGCATTTACTTACTGCCAGCTGCAGTGGGAGTTTCATTCCGGCAGCACCCCCAAATCCATTAATCTCTTTGGATCCTATAAGCCCAGGACGTTAATGGTGTTTAATCAGAGGCAGCTTTGATTTTCAAAGATGGTGAGCTCTGGCCTTGCCTGCTCATGGTTGGAAGAGGTGACGGCGGGGCTGCACGTGGGAGCTGGGCAGGGTAGCCCCAAGCACCTGGGTCATCTGCTCCTCTCTCACCCCCTCTTCTAACAGCCTTGCAGAGAAGACTGGCCAGGGGTTCTGTGCAGAGCAGACCCTGGTAGGCATCCTGTGAATTAATGGAGAGCTCAGCAGGCCAGCCTCATGCCCTGGGTTGGCCTCTGTGAGGCAGGACTGGGCTAGTGTGTTCATTTTTGTTTTCTGTGCACATGCAGAGTGGGGCAGGCTGACAACAGCGTGACTTGGGGATAACAATAACTAAAATAATAATTAGAAGCAACGCATATGTGCCAGGCATGTGACACTCACAATCTCCCCTCTTTACATCTGTCCTGCCAAAAATATATTGTTAACCCTATTTGTAGATGAGAGAGCTAAAGCTCAGAGAGGTCACACAGCTTGCAGAGCGTCACACAGCTGGCGGGGCTGAAGCCGGGACCTGAAGCCAGCCTGCATGACTTCAAAGCCCTTCTCCTCTGCCTTCTCCACTCCCTCCCAGGGATCTGCCTTTGGCCGAAGTGAGGCCTGGAGCCGCATGAGTGGCTCCCTGAAGGAAGCTGGAGCCCTGCCTGGGAAGCTTCGCTGAGCACCCAGGACACGAGCCGAGCGCATCCCTCCTCTCTTTGGCTTACCTCGACGGTGGTCTTATCATTTCATACCTTGTTCCATTTCAGAGATGTGCTGGGGTCTGGCGGGGGGCGCACTAGCTGGGGATGTGGTTAGTGCTCAGAATGGCCGTTTTCATTGTCACCGGGCCAGTCCTTTCTCCTTTCCCATTAACATTCACCCTGCCTGCCTGCCCCGTAGCTTAGGAGGGGGATCTTACTGTGGCCATTGAGCAGACGATGGGTCAGGCCCTCAGAGAAGGGAGGTCGCTTGCTGAGGGTCTGGCCTGTTACTGGAGCACTTCTGTGTCTCCACACGGACACTCCACGTGATCTCCAGCCAGGTAAAGTACAGAGCATTTCTGCCAACACCCCTGCAGGTGCCTGCTTGCACCCCAAAAGCCTCCACTCATCTCTTTCCGCCACTATTGATTGTTTTCACTCATTACTAAACTTCATGTAAGTGGAGTCATACAGTCCTTGGAGTCTGGCATCTCTGCCAGCCACCAGCTGGGAGTCTCCCCTGTTCCCTTCCGTTGGTAGAGGTGGAATGTAGTGATACAACCTTGTCTTAATTCCTTAGGTCTCAGTCCCCTGTCCTAGCTGCTAGGGTTGGCATGACTGGGGGAGGCTCTTTGGTGTTCTGAGATGACATTGTTAAGCACTCCCTTCCTCAGCAAGCTCAGGCCGCCAGTGGCAGGACAGTGGGCCGCCGGCCGTTGCTCTGCTGTGCTGACCATTGATGATGTCGGGAGTGTTGCAGGACAGGCCTTATTTTGCAGAAATCGGTCTGTCATTTCTGTGACCAACCACCATCAGTACCACATGTGTGGTAAAAGTCTCCAGATTGCTGACAGTTTCTGGCAGACATCTGGGGTTCTGAAGTCTCCCTAGCACGGTGGGGCTCAGGAAGCCAGTCCCTCCCGAGAACAGCCTGGCTCTGAGTGTTCCTCGGGAAGGGAAGTACAGGGGCATATAGGAGTGACATTGGGCTAAGTTTTCTTTCTAGTCCCTTTGTTGGGGAGGGGGGGTGGGTGTTAGTGGCATTTTTTTTTTTTTGAAAGGTTTATTTATCTCTGCAACTGGGATACAGGCCAGAAGTGCAGGGGGTGAGAGGATTGACTAGAGAGAGTAGGGAACACAATAGGCAGGATCTACTGAAATGCTCTGCTGAGGGGAGCAGCAGGCGAGACAGGAGAGTTCTGCTGTGCCATATGGGTCAGCTCCCTGGCCGGGGCTCAAACTCACGCTGCAGAAAGTTTCATAGTGCCATGCTTTAACCCGTTGTGCCACCAGGGAGGGCCCATTAGTGGCAT